CAAGAAAAGGTTTGTAAAAAGGAGATAGCTTGGCTATGGAGAAGACACACTATGTCAGACATTAATAACAGTGTTTTACAGGCAGGAAAGGAACATCTGTAAGATCCCGCAGTGGACACACCTGTGAAATAATCTGTTGTTGTGTTGTTGTCAATGCTTGACCAGACGGACCCCAAGGTGATTTCTGCTCAAGCAAAGCTCTGCCCCAGCCAGGACACCTCCTGCTCACCACAGCTCCGTGCTGTGCCAGCACAAGTGGGAGCAGGCTCTGAACTTTCCCCTAGTTGAACAACAGAGCTCACACACCCACCTGCAGCTGCCACCGAATGCCTGCTGGTATTTTAAGTAATGCAGGAGAGATACATACAGATAGAAAAATAACTGCAAATGGAAATGTCTGTTCATGAAGCTGCTGGTGAACACTGCTCTGATTGCTTCCAAGGATTCTCATCCACTGCCTTTGTCACTCTGCTGTCAGAGTCAGGGTGCTCCTCCATCTCTCATGCATTCAGATCCCAGATCACATGCTCGGCAGGAAAGGACTTTCGGAACTGCTGAAGGGCAGCCATGCTGCACTGACAAGTCACACAAGAATCACAAGAATAGTCCTAGCACTGCAACAGTTACGCTCAGATCATTTGGGAAATCCCCTAGCGCAGACTGAGCAAGGTCCTTATCCTTGAAGCTTCAAGAATGAGGAAGAAAGTGAAAAACAACATGGATTTTTAAACCATAAAAATAGGAAAATAAAATGATCCCTCACACCATGGGCTTATTTCTACAGTACTGAGGTGACCTTAAAAATAAGTCTTTTCTAAGCACAATTCTGCTGCTCCCTTAAAGTGCTGATATGCTGTCCACTCAAAAACTGCAAGACGCAGCATTTATGTCCTGCAAGGAGTAAGCATGATTACAAAACCACAGAATGACTTGGCTTGGAAGTGACCTAAAAGATAATGCATCCAAAAAGCCCACTCCTCAGGTTTTTAAGAGTAGCCACTAAAACATGTATCTCTGAAGAAGTCCCTTTGTGTTTAGAGGTCAAAAAGGAACACAGGCATTGCTGTGGGCTTGGGACAAACACTACAACCTGCATGCACACACTAGAGCAAAATGAGGCTGCCTGCTATATCCACTGTTGTTTTTCACTTATTTAATCAGAATTCAAACTCTGTTTTAAAGGCCTGCTGATGTTCTTTAGCCTGCTCTCCCAGCAGCACAGCTCTGACTGTGCCTCTCATTCACCGCTCCACTGATTCCTGCCCATCTCCTCCACGGTTGTGCCCGCACAGCTGCTGTCAGCACAGGCTCCTGACCAAGTCAGCAGAATTTTCTCTCCTTTTGACCAGCAGGTTGGATACCCTCACCGTCTGCTGAATCACAAAGCATGGCTTTACAAACAGACTGGGGTTAGGGACTTTGCACTTCAGCCTTGTTTTACAATACCTCTCTTTCAGCCCCACTGTCCACATCTCCCAGCTGCTATGGGGCAGCTCCATAGAACTAATTCCAGACAAAACGAGAAGGCACAGACAAACTAGCAAGGAAATATGGAAACCACAACCTCACCCAGCAGCCAAGTTATGCCAAACTGAACCAATCGCAACAGGGTTCTGAGTGAAAGTACTCCAATTTTGGAAGATGTGAGAGACAGCTCCTACAGATGCTCCTAAGCTGCAGGAGGAATCAAAAGCTCAACTGGAAAAACACCCGGATGCGGGTTTAAGCACTCACTGCCTGACCTGGATCACAGAATAGGTTTGGGCTGGGAGGGACCTCAAAGAACGTCTAGTTCCAGCAGCCCTGCAGGCATGCTTGCAAGTGGGTGGATTCCAAAGGCAAAGGCAGACGTTGCAGATCCTCTATGCAACTGTTACTGCCGGGGTAGAGCGATCGTTCCGGGCCCGTAAGCAGCTAAAAGCAGCCCTATGAGAAGCAGAGAGGGAAGAACGGTGCGGTGCCGGCAGCTGAGCGCACAGGGAGGCGACCACCAACGCCCACAGCTCCGCGCAGCTGCTCCGAAACGTCCGCGCAAACCACTTAGGAGCTGACGGAGCTTCCTGCAGCCGCTCAGCTGTCGCTACGACCACGAGCAGAAATTACCACACGGACGCTCCCAGGCCCGGACCCCGGACTGCCCACACCGGGACCTTCGGGCCGCGCCGAGGGGCCCACAGACGGCAGGGAGCCGCCCGACGAGAGCCCACAGAGGCCGAAAGGGGCCGAGAAGGGCCGGAAAGTGTCGAAAGGCGTCGAGAAGAACCGAAAGGTGCCGAACGGCGCTAGCGGAATCCTCACCTCTCAGCAGCGCCATGGTCCGCGCCCTCCCGCTCTGCCGCCGGCGCCGCCCGCCCCGCCCCTCCCGCCCCGCCCCTCCGCACATTCGTCACGCTGCGAGCGAAGGAGGCACTGATTGATTCACAGGCGCCGCTTTAAATCTGATTTTAAATCTGACTTCATTTGTTCGTTTTCGGTCTTATTTAAATCTGATTTAATTTCTTTCCTTCCTTACCGGCCACCCGAACCCGGGGGCGAATCGGCTGTGAGGCAACGGCGGCTCGCAGCGCGTTGCCTAGCAACGGCGGTGGGGTAGGCCGCAGGCGGAGCGGCCTGCGGGGCGTTTGGGAGCCACGGGCCGGTGGTGGAGTGGTCTCGGGCTTCTGTCAGCCGCCTGTACCTGCACAGTCGCCACAGAGAGCAGCAGGGATCTCCAGACGGCTTCCCTGTGCTCCGCCCCTGTTTTGGGTGGGGAATCCTTCGAGCGCCACTCGAAGCTCTGCTGTTTGAGGAGAGGTGGCATCTGCGTGAGTAAAAAGTGCTGGCAGAGCAGTTGTGGATGTTGCAGAAAGGAGGATTACACTTTATTACGTGTATTGCCACATGGCTTCAGCTGAAGGCTTTGAGAATTAGAACATTTATTTGAGGTTTATCCTAGGAAAATGAGCGTTTTTATTAAAAGAAAAATCTGCTGTTTTGCTTGTAATTCCATTGATTTCGTGATTCTGGGTGCAGTGACATATAATAATCTTAAGGAAAAGTGGGGACAGGAATAAAGAAAAAGATATTTTGTATTTTCCCTTTTTGCCACCAACTTACCTCTGATCACTTCAGTCCACAGAATCACAGAATGGCCAGGCTTGGAAGAGACCTCAAGGATCACGAAGCTCCAACCCCCTGCCACACGCAGGGCCACCAACCTCCACATTTCACAGTAGCCCAGGCTGCCCAGGGCCCCATCCAACCTGGCCTTGAACACCTCCAGGGATGGACGGGGCATCACAGCCTCTCTGGGCAGCTGTTGCAGCACCTCACCACTCTCATAGCACAGAACTTCCCCTGACATCCAACCAAAATCTTCCCTCCCTCAACTTCAAACCATTTCCCCTTGTCCTGCCGTTATCTATCCTTTCAAATTGTTGACTCCCCTCCTTTTTGCAGGCTCCCTTTAGGTACTGAAAGGCTGCCATGAGGTCACCCCACAGCCTTCTTTTCTCCAGCCTGAACAAGCCCAGCTCCCTCAGCCTGTCCTCGTAGGGGAGGTGCTCCAGTCCCCTGATCATCTCTGTGGCTCCTCTGGACCCTCTCCAACAGCTTCCTGTCTTTCTTGTGCTGGGGGCTCCATACCTGGACACAGCACTGCAGATGGGGCCTCACAGGTTGCAGAGCAGAGGGGGACAATCACCTCCCTGTCCCTGCTGGCCACTCATCTGCTGATGGAGCCCAGGATGCCATTTGCTTTCCGAGCTGCAAGAGCACACTGCTGGCTCATGTTCAGCTTTTCATCTATCAGGACCCCCAGGTCCTTCTCTGCAGGGCTGCTCTCAAGGACCGCTCCCTCCAGTCTGTACAGCCTTGGATTCCTCCAGCCCAAGTGTAAATCCTTGCACTTTGCTATGTTGAACGTCACTAGCTCCATTCAGTGCTGAGACCACAATACCTAATGCTCACTTCTATATGTAATTTAGAAATAGAGTGTTTCCAATATATAAATACTGAAATGTGTGTTTCATTCCCATTTTTAACCAAAAATCACTGTTTCTTCTAAACTGTTTCTTTTACAGTTCTTTCTCTAACCATGGTGGAATACTGCAGTAACTGTTATATCATTTTCCTGTTAACAAAGGCATAGTGTGCAGATGTGTAAAAAATGGAAAAGTATTCAATAAGCAGTATCTCATTGCCAGCATTCGCTCCTATTTATCATTCTGCTTCTGCTGAGAAAGGGAGCCCTGCAGCTTCTCAATTGCCAGTGAAGGAAGTGTGAAGAAATGTTGCAAGCAGTGTTCTCAGTATGAAGAACTCCCGTGCAACGGAGTGCAGCACTGCACATAACCATCATTACAGAAATTGCTTTGTTTGCAGTTCTCACAGCTAAAGGAAAACAAAGCAATCTTTGGGTGGCTTTTTTTTTGCTGTGTGCCTTGTCTAAAACAAACACAGTCTCAGCATTTTAATCCAACTTACAAAACGTTTTGCAACAGTGATGCCTCTTTCATTTTGCCACAACCTCTGTCATTTTGCATCCACACCTCTTAACGAGCCTGAATAAAATACAGGGATTGATGTGAAAAAACGCTTCCTCCTGCAACTCACCTGGGGGGTTTCCTGTGCTGTAAATGCTGTGCTGAACTGTAATGCATTTCTCCATCCAATGTATTTTTTTGTAAGGTCTGGATGGTATATAAGTTCCATCATACAGAAATAAACACACTGATCAGCTCTTCAGCCTACTTGGCACGGAAGCTCAGCGAAATGCCACTTTATAAAGTTTAATTTGCAAACTGAAATGCTGTGACTAAGAATCTCTGCAGTTAGTAATCAATTCCAGGTTCGGAGCTGATGGTAAATCGCCTCAGAGCCACGCTGCAGTACCGCACTGCATCCGGAAGGTGGCGCAGTTCAGCACTACCGGCGGGGGGCGGGAGTATGCAAATCGACCTCGGCGCTAAGCCAATCAGCTTCCAGAGGGCGCGGAGCGGAGACAGATGGGAGCAAACCGGTCCGGTGTCGGGGCTCGGTCTGGAGCGCGAATGAAGAAAGAGAGAAGAGACAGCGTAGAGTCTACGGGGAAAGGCCGTCCAGAGCTGTTGGTCTCGATACTGCTTCCCGCTCTGACTTGGAGGAGAGGTCTCGAGATGCCAAGGTAGTAACGGGAAGACGCAGCGTGGTAAGTGTGGTGTGGTTACGCTGGGTCTTAATGAGAAGTTTTACAGGAGGAGTGCCGCTTGTGCTCAATACTCCGGAATGTGCGCGGTCAGCTTGCTGCTAACGCAGGGTGTTTTTTGACTCATGGGGTGAATGGCTGTTGGAACAGCGAAGTGTTGTGCCCTGTCGTTCCGAATCTGCAGCGGGCTCTCTCTGTGGTAATATTCTCCAGGGCCTGCTACGCGTGCTCCTGTGTTCCCGGAAGTAGCGTCTGATTGTAGTGGACGCCTACGCCACCGGTCCGCTGTTATCTATGGTTTTCAGTCCTCCAGAAAGTGAAACGCACGTGCTCAGTTACGCGGAAGTAGCGTCTTTCTGTAGGGACAGCGGCACGCTAGCAGCACGCTGAGCTCTTGAACCAGGGCCTCCTGACTCTAGTACGCACGCGCACGGCAACGCGCAGGTGCCGCCGTTCCGGTACGTGCAGTGTCGCACCGCAGTCAGCGGGGAGCAGCAAAGAGCCGTTGCGCATGCGCGCTGCTTGACCTTCACTATGGTTTAGCACGCGTGCGCGATTCACATGGAAGACCAACGGCCATAGAGTCTGCTGGAACCCGGAGCCTAGCGCGGCCTGCAGGAAGTCGCTATGTTTACTTCCTGTTGCGGCGGGTCGCAGCTACGTGGCGGCGCGGTGCGGATCGTGAGGTCCGTCAGCAGCGCGGAGCCTTGAGCTCCTTCTCTCGGAAGGGCCCCGGGCCCGCCGGCGGTGTGCCGTTCTGCACCCAGTCTGACCCACCGGGCCCGGCCTTGTGTTTTTCTTCCCGTGCTGATGCTGCAGCCGAGGCCCTGTGAGCAACAGTTACACTGCAGCACCCCTGCTGCCCAGGACGGCCTTCCAGTTAAAACCTTTCTGTATTCTTAAAATGCTTCTTGGTAAATGCTTCTAAGAAAGATGAGTGAATCAGTTTTAAACTAGCAAGCTCAACCACACCACGTAAACTCATCAGAAACGCTGACGTTGGATAGCATATTGCCGCTCACCGCACGTCCCCATCACGTTCTTCCTGGTCTTTTGTCCAAGCAAATCTTCCTACCAACAACATATCTGTCTCTCGCTTCTCTTCTCTCTCCCTATATGGACCTGGGTCTTCTTGTCCCCATGTGCCCATCAGCTCCACAGTGTGCTGTAGAGCACTGCAGAGACCTCTCAGTGCGCTCTTAAGTGCATTTCCCAGGGAAATCACTTCCCTGTCAATCAGATCCCACCACTTCAATCTGCTCTCATATTTCAGGGCAGCCTTCCTAGATTTCCTAAGTCTCCCAAGGGTCCCAGTGTACTTTAAGGCACCCTACAACAGTACCCAGAACCCCAGGGGACCACAGTATGAACCCCAGGGCCCTCTGTTGTGACACAGAGGTCTTTCAGGGCCCTACAGTGAGCTCTAGGAGAAGCTAGACACATCCCAGAGCTATTGAGTGTGGTCTCAGATGCTCTAACACATGTACGTTAGAAGTTACTACTGAATTCCAGGTGGTGAAGCAAGCTGATTCTTTACCTGTGTGTCTATATGTATATGCTTGGGTATGTGTGTGTAGAACTACATCCATATACATGGTGCTACCAGCGTAACACTCACCAAGCCATCCCCAAGGAAGCATTTCACACAAGAGATAATCCACATTAAGGAGTCTGGAGTGTGCAGAGCAATCCTTGTGAGGCCCCTGTGTGTTCAGATCCGCAGAGGAGCCTTCTTCTATCTCCTATGAAGAAAGGTTGAGGGAGTTTGACTTCTTTAGCCTGGAGAAGATCTCATGCAGCCTTCAATACTGAAGGGAGCTTACAAGCAGGAGGGGGACTGACTTTTTATACAGTCTGATTGTGATAGGAGAAGGGGGAATGGCTTTAAACTAAAAGAGGAGAGATTTAGGTGAGATGTTAGGAAGACATTTTTTGCTCAGAGAGTGGCAAGAGCTGGCAAAGGCTGCTGATAGAGTCTGTGGATGCCCTATCTCGGGAGACATCTGAGGAGCCCTGGGCAGCCTAAGCTGGTGGTTAGCAACAAACGCATGGTGAGGGGGTGATCTTTAAGCTTCCCTCCCACCTAAGCCATTCTGTGATTCTGTGATTTCGTACAGGGGTTTGTTTTTGCTGAAAGTGAATTGCTCTTCATACCTTTTCGAGGTACATATGTAAACAGGCTTAGGACATGAATTACTGGCTTTGTCCTTCAGCATGGTTTCTTGCTTCTGCTTCTATCCCTTATCAGAAATGTCTCGGGCTCCCATGGAGGTCTCCGAACTCATACAGAACGCCTTGGAGACCACTGGCTAAGGAGATACCCACTTCTGTCAGTAAACTTACTGGATTGTCTTTTGGCTGTTCACTCCAAACTCACTACTGCTGTGCAGCCAGGGATTGCAGCTTCTCCTCTGCAGAACAGCACCCAAAAGGCAGTTCATAGGGCCCTTAATATCAGCCAAAACATCTAAGCCACTACTGAGAGATGCTCTAGAATGGCTGCTGCAAACAGAGGTCTTAACTACTTTGCTCATTTTGTCTTTACTCAGTAGCACAGAAAAGTCAGTACTGCCTTGCAGCCAAATAGATATTTCTAGTTACAAGCTATGTATTTTTTTTTTTATCTTTTCTTTGCCATCTGCACAAAAACTGCAGATAGAACCTCTTTAAATAAAATGTTTTGCAGGTGAATTGCCATGATTTGAGAGTTGAGATAAGAACTAGAGGTCTTTATAGCTAAACCAAATTATCAGTCAATTAATCTGATTACAGGTGAAGCTATATTTCTTATGATGGGAAAGGTGAGCCTTCTGTTACTGACTATAATTACAAACATGGAGTGTATCTGCATCCCTTCTAGTGAAAACTATAAGCAGTTACCACAATAGGTCAGTGAGAATGGCTGTGTTTTATGTTGCCAGGAGCAGTGCTGCAGCCCTCAGTGGTTCTTGTTCTCACAGCCATGAACTCTGCATGGGGAAGAGCTGATCAGTCTGCTCCAGTGGCATGGTTGTAGGCATTATCCCCACTCAGACCTCCATGTGTGCAAACAAATCTCTCCACCATTCACAACTTTGGTCACTTATGTTTTCCCTCTCTTTCTCCCTCTCTCCACAAACTTTCCTTTCTTGTCCCTACACCTCCTAACACCCTTCTGTTCGTTTTTCCTTAAACAATTTGACTGCAATCGACAATATGGGTCAAACAGCTGCTCTTCAAGTTGCTGGATCTCAGGAGATTCTCCTACAATGAATCAGACTACTAAGATCACTGGATGATTCTACTTTTAAAGCATTCTTCCTAAGTTTTGACTATGGTTCCCTATTAGGTTCTGTGATAAAAACTTTGTCTCCATAAACTCAAAGCACGCATAGACATTACAGCAGGTGGAGAAAGCCCTATTTTGTCTCAAAGTGATTAGGCCACGTGACAGCTCAATGAGATAGCTTTTTGCTGCCTGTTTTCTTCAGTGGTGTTGCTCCGTGTCCCTGGTGCATATCTTTGAAAGCAATATGCACTGAGTATTTTCAAAAAAGGAACCATCATCCTATTGCTTGCTGGTTTCCACTGGTGTCACAGCTGTTGCTGTCAGAAGAACAGTTGCTTTCACTCACTGCCTCTAATAACCCCTCTATATTTCACATGCCAATACACAATCTATAGACCTGGGTAGCATGCAAACCCTTCCCGTCATAGTATTGCATTAATCACTAGCTTTCTTCTCCTGCCATCACTCAGCCTACCTGGTCCTGGATGGTTCTGTGACATCCACCAGTATGTGACGTGAATTTCAGCCTGCATTCACCATAACCACCTTATTGTTGGTGATGGGGAATGAGGCAGAATACCAGTGTCTGCATGCTACTGGCTCTGCGTGGAACAGCTGATCTGCTTACAAGATGCAGGTCTTTATATCCTAACCTAGCCCTACAAAGCATCTTTTCCTCTTCTTTCATCCACCTTTAGTTCCCACAGGCCTTCATTATGAAGATTTCAATTGATTGCTGCTAACATGCACTTGAGTCCAAATATCTGTGCTATTCATAGCCAAGCACTCATTCAGCTAAATGCTTGGCTGTGTGTCAGTGCTCCTTTGATCAAACTGAATAAAAGACTTAACCAGGTGTTCCTCACAGCCCCAGGTCATCGGAAGGAATTCAACACTGCAGGGATGACGTGCAGGAATAAAATCTCTCTGAAGTATGCAGCGTAGATGATGCCCAGGGCTCCAGCAAACAGGAAGAAAGATTTTGCCAAAGCAGGACTTTATCTGCTTAAGAAGCCTTTCAAAGGTATCTGCTAAGCGGAAGGCAAAGAGAGATGCTTACTTACGTGTGCCTAAGACTATTCTTGTGCTGCAGGGAGCAAGGAGTGGGCTGCAGACAGACACGTTACTTTCTGGTGGTATTTCTCTTGCTCTTATGTGATGGGGCAGAGATTTTTCCACCTCTTCTCAGACTCCTCTCTGTGCCTGAGTAATGCACGACCTTACAGCCACGTTTTTGCCAGGATAACATGAGGTTCTGCTCTATGGATGCACATGCCTCTTGGTTCTCGTTGTGCTGTTCTAGTGCTCTGCCACACACCCTCCTGGCTTTGTCAGCCTCCCACTTTCGTGCCACTTTTTCCACCTTTCATCGCTGTGAAGCCTCTGCGCAGGCGGTCACCGATTCCCGCAGAACTCTTACAAGTCTCATTGCAGCAACAGGGGGCACTCTCGCACCGCAGTCTCTGCACGGCCGCATTAGAGTCTATCAGCTCCGGCAAGCAATCATTTGTCACCGCGTGGTTAATTCTCCACTTTGCAACTGACTGCCAATGCTAAGAATACTCCTTGAAAACGGATAGCAAAGATGCGCTCCTCGGCTGCGTGAGCTTCCCTAAAGTTGCTTTATGCTGTCTCCAACTCAAGAACAGATGAGCAATTCATTCCATCAGTAGCTGAGAGCCTTTCATCTTATCTCATCTCATCCTTCTCT